TGTGTATCACTATCATATGTGTATCACTATCATATGTGTATCACTATCATATGTGTATCACTATCATATGTGTATCACTATCATATGTGTATCACTATCATATGTGTATCACTATCATATGTGTATCACTATTATATGTGTATCACTATCATATGTGTATTACTATCATATGTGTATTACTATCATATGTGTATCACTATATGTGTATCACTATCATATGTGTATCACTATCATATGTGTATCACTATCATATGTGTATTACTATCATATGTGTATCACTATCATATGTGTATCACTATCATATGTGTATCACTATCATATGTGTATTACTATCATATGTGTATTACTAGGTAAAAAAGCCGTTTCTTAAAGAATTGATCATTTAAAGTGGATTACATAGACCAGGTGTCCTCAAATTATCCAGAGCAACAACAGCGATAAAACAGCCTTGGTGAACTCTGAAGAATATGCACTGAAAAAGATGGATAAAAAATATCAACTTACCTTAAAAATATATCTATAATTATTTAATAGATATTTAATCATTTATTTTAAAAGTTTTATGATGTTCCTTATTTTCTTAATTTTTAGTGTTGGAAACACCATTTTCACACGAATACTATGATGTCTTGCATTCTTTATGCAGCTTTGATCTGAAATACACTGCTGTTTTTAGGTTTACCAGACACATTAGGTGTATTTGCATACGTATCGGTGTCACTGATACTAGCCTGAATTTTACTCAGTATATTTATATATATCAGAACAGAAATCCTGGTATGAACACCACTAGTGATCATGTAGACACAGCCTGTGCAATGAATGCAGCTGAGCCCAGCATCAGGGTTGCCAGATAAATTTAAAGTGTCTTATTTACCCCTCCTTTTCTGTGCACATGTTCAACGCAAAGGCTGAAGGTAGTCCCTCACTACTTACTTTATGTTTCGACTTTCGCGGACTCGCTCTATCATGGTTTGTGGGTGTACAGTACTGTACAATATATATATATATATATATATATATATATATAAATGCACAGCCATTTTGTAGTTTTCTTTCATTAAGCCATTCTAAATAACTATGTTACCTATAAGCCATCAGTTCACTTCCCAGAAGTCAAGACTGCTTCCAACCACTGCTTTCTGCAAATGGAGGGAAAGTTTTGCAGCAAAGTCAGAAGTTCTGTAGGGATGAGCTCACAGGACTGGCAGGAAAGTCACAAATACATCTGAAGCTGAACTCATCCTTCAGGTTGTATCTCCACTGCTGAGTAGCTGGGCTACAGCTGATCTGGACTACATTATAGCTGTAATTTCTAACCTGAGCCCGAAACCCAGCCCGGACGGACGCAGATTGGGGCAAGGCTGTTATAATATGACTAATGGGCGAGCCGGGCCGGTCTCCGATGTTTAATTAGGTCAGGAGCAGCTGCGATCCAATTAAATTATAACATGGCCTGCCATACATCCAACAGACATACGCGGCCATTTCACCATGAGCTGACCGGCCTTGAAAGAGGTAAAAAGTTCAGTTAAGCTTCAGATGGGACTGTACTGCCAGGCAGCGATCCATCGCCCAAATGGACGTTCATTCAGCCGCTGCACTCAGCGGACACATGCGGTCGACGACCCAAACAAGTGAGATCCCAAAGCAGACGCGTGTGTTAGAGCTGTTCGCGTGTCTCAGTAATTCAGAAGAATTTAGGCAGAAACAGGGTTTAAATGATTTTTTATGGCCATGAAAGGACAAACATCTCTCAGTTCCAAATCTTCTGCTGCTTTTATTCAGCTGCACGTCCCCGACCGTTAATAACTAATTAAAAACGTTGGAGGATTTTTACGGGTTCGGGCATGTAATTACTATTAATTCGTCGGGTTGGGTGAGGTTCTGAAATTATGACTGTGGGCTGGGGCTGGGCTGGATCAGATTTTTTGGGCTCGAATGCAACTTTAATCTGGAGTCAGTGTGACCCAGATCCTGGGAGCTGCAGGCGACAGACGGCTGAGGTTCAGTCAGGTTCTGGTCGTTCTATGCTTGTCCGGACTGGGCCAGAGGTGGTGGACTATAAATCCTGGGCAGATTGTCCTTCCTGGAGCGGCAGCACGTGCACATCAAGCTGGATGGGGCTTCATCATGCTGCTCCGGGACTTTCTTCCAGCGGGTCGGACGGAACCAAGCTGCTGTTCTGCAGAGCCCTTGTAAGTAAAATTTAGTAGCTACATATAAGTATGTTGTTAAAATTAATAGGTTTAAGAGTTTAGAACATTGCAAGAATGTGAGAATTGTTTATAAAGCTGTATATAAATACAAAAATAAACTATACTACTACAACAGTAACTACTAAAATAAACTACTACTTAATACTACAGTAAATACTAAAATAAAAACTACTACTTACTACTACTACTACTGCTTGTGTACATAAATTCATTCCATCTCATACCACATGAGATGATAATGACAATAAAGATTACTTGAACTTGGACTACTATATACTATACTTTGCGGTTTTTCACTTATCACCGGGGTGGGGGTGTGGGGGGGGCGTGGTCCCTAAACCCTGTGATAAACGAGGAAATACTGTATTGACAGTTTAGGTAAAAATACTACCATTTCCAAACGACAGTACTATAGTTCATAATTTCTCATCTGGCAACCCGACTGACATGAAACTACAGCGTTGTAAACCTGC